AGAAAATCAAAATTATTCTCCACATAATGAAAGAATCCGTCTTTTTTTTGTTTAAATGTCCCAGTTGTCTCCATTTAAACCATGATGCTGTCATGTTTCAATATTTCTTGTAACAGCATTCATTTTGTCCATCAAGAGCATCATTACAACTGACCTCTAAAATAATCGTTGTCATTATTACACCTAACTTCGTGTCAAAGTACATTTGCTTCCATTTAAAATTGATTTTCGCATCCCGAACATTTTGTTTGTCATCTATCAAAAACTTCTGAGGTGAAACCTGAATCAACGTTTCCATTACTCTACCAATATTAGATCCACTTCACCCAAATGTTCCTGGTTTTACTTGTCAGTTTACTTTACAAACCATTAACTGCGAATACGTTAGGTGGGGGGGGGGGGGGGGGGGGGGGGGGGGGTCGAGTACTAACAAGACTATTTCCTCCTTTTGTAAATTCTATTATGTTTTGTACTTTGTGAATTACGATTTCACTACTATTAGTTTGTTTGCATTTATCTGGGGACCCTTTTTATCAAACAGGAAAGCAATGTCAGCATTGTTGACTTTGTTTGCCCAAAACTCTCCATTCAAAGTCTTTTCGACTTCGGCTTGGCTTTTGTTCTTTTCTTCTTCGTGGAAATATTCAAAGTGTGCTCACTCTGAAACAATGCCAGAGATTTTGTGTTCAGAAGATGAAATGGGATGACGCTTGTCGAATACGGAACCTTTGATCACACCTAATAATATATAACTGGTCCATCTGAAATAAATCAATAATATTTCCACAAATTGTCTATCAATGCTGTGATTCTGTTTGGTAAATAATAATGAGTTATAATAATAGTTTTATTGATGTACATTATTTGATTTTCATGTAGGGAAAACTTTGAGGTTATTTGGACTTTCACTTTCCTATTACTTGTCTATTGCTTTTGATATTTAGTTCTAAAATGATTATTCAACTATTTAAACCTAAATTTTAGACACGGCCTAGTTTCGAATATGTTAATGTTTTAAATACAAATCCTGATTTCTAAGATTTTTCGGTAAAAGTATTTCTTAGCAACATGGCTGTACTGAATTATGTAGCCTTCAGGGGTAGAAAAATAAGTTTATGTCATCATAATTGTTTGATGTACAAACATGTATTCATGAAAACAGTGATTTAAGGACTTTTCGCGTGAGAAGGAAAAACGTTTCATTTACATTATGTTGAAATATTGTATAATTAACTATAATAATATTCTTATTGATTTGTGTTTCTGGCAAAGAAATCAATGCATAAAAAATCAAAAATACCATTGTTGTGATTGTTTTTTCAGATAAGTTGTCTACTAACGTCCTCCTCTTACTTTTCACCGAGCCGCTGAGTTAGCTCAAATACTACTATGGTACTACTAGTCCGGCTGTGGTACGAATGGCCCTGGTTCGAACCCCCAGTAGAGCGTCCATGAAATAATAACATTGAAATTGGGTTTTTTTTAAGGGCTCTCAGGGCTCCATCCGGATTTGACTAGGTTTAATCGGAGATAAACGTAACATTCGGGCGTCCCACCTGTATTAAAAACCATCGCTGTTTTGAATATGTCACGGAACCTGTCCAATTATTACTACTTTTACTACTACTACTACTACTACTACTACTACTACTACTACTACTACTACTACTA